ACTTTTTTTTTATGTTGGACATCTGAAAAATTATGTTCTTTGTGTAAACTGATGGTGTATTGACAGTATGTGACGTAACTGAAGTTCTGCATTTTGTTCAATCAAGAAAATGTGTCAGACCTGGAAAATATATCTAGCAAATGACAGCCCGGCTCATCTAGAGGCAGAACTAGCTCACACGATTCATTCCCCTTGCTGTGGCATTTTTCTTGAGGATATAATCAGAACAGTCTTAGAGTTAGAAGGGGAGTTAGGTTTAATCTAGTCCAGCATTTTACTCAGTGCAGGAATTTGTGTTACGTTGAAGAATTTGCCTTATCAACGTCTTGGCAAATGCCTGAGCTCCCTGTTTGAGTCCTCCTTCTGCAATTCAGGTCCCTGACTCTGGAGACAGCCTGCCTGATTTTAATCCCTGGCTCTGATGCTTTTAAACTGAAGGATGTGGAAAAATTCTTTTTTTTTAATTTCAACTTTTAAATTCTATGACACAATTTCATAGGCTTTGAGATTTCCCTTGATGTGGACAAGTTGTTCATTTTTCCATGTGTCCTTTTGCTTAGTCTTACTAGCAGCTGTGTCCTTGACAATAAACCACTAGGGACGGGACCGTAGACCTGACCCATCTTATAATGAGGGAAGAACTGAGAACCAAGTAAATGCCAGTGTATGCACTCTAAAAGTACATTTAGAGTATAGCAACTCTTTTAAAAACACACCTTCTTCGTTGGTCAGAGTGGTGGAAGGGCAATAGAGAGGAGAGGCTTCATCAAAGCCTCTGAAAGTGTTGTGCCATAATGTGGGATCCTCAGTTTTTTTAGAAAAGGATTTAGATGTTTTCCAAAAAAAGAAAGACAGTAGAAGCCCTCCGCCCACCGAATTGTAACTATCTAAGGTGGCGCATATGTTGATATGTTGAATCACTTGATTATGCAATCGTGCTAATCATTTCACAATGCATAATGCATGTCTAAACGTCACATTGCACATCAAAAATATGTAGTTTTTAGTCGTCAACTATAAAAAGTTGAGAACATAAAAATAAAATAAAATTTAAAAATCATGAGAATTTATTTACATTGAGGAAATAAATATTCAACTATTAAGAACAGATTTTGTGGGGCCTGGCACCATGGCATATCAGGCTAGGCCTCCACCGAGGGAACTGGTATCCTGTGTGGGCACCAGTTTGTGTCTTGGTTGCTTTAGTTCTGATCCAGCGCTCTGCTTATGGTCTGGGAGAGCAGTGGTGAAGGCTCAAGTCCTTGAGACCCTAAACCCATATGGGAAGCATGGTGGAAGCTCTTGGCTCCTGACTTGAGACCAGCTCAGTTCTAGCTGCTGTGGCCGTTTGGGCAGTGAATCAGCAGATGGAGGTCTCTATCTCTGTCTCTCCTCCTCTCTGACGTTCAAGTAATAATACAATTGTTCTTTAAAAAAAAAAAACCAGATTTTTGTGCTCTATAATTAATATCCCATAAATAAGCTTCACATAGATCAGAATCTGAACATATTCATATCAATTTTGTAATGTAAATATAGCTGTGTTTTTTGATAAGAGACGACTGTGAATTGGGAAATGAGGTGGTCAGGGTGAGTGCTGATAATTCAGATGATTGACTCTAAGTTCAGGAACAACTGAACAACTGAACAACTGCAATTTGGTGTCTGAATTTTTGACTTTGTATTTGGTGTAGTCTGCAAATGCAGTGCATGAGAACAGAAGTTCCAGGGAGACTCTCCTGGTTCATGCTGAATGCGCTTGTCCCCTGGGGAGCCCCAAAGGAATGTCAGAGATATCAGTTTGAGTAATTGTAAGTTAAGGTATAGCAGCCAAATGCTAAAGAGTCAGTAATCAATCATCCAGTCATTATTACATGATGCTTGGGCCAAACAGAAGTGGGGCAGAAAGTGAATTTTAAAATAAAGCACCCAATGGAGTCTGTTGCTTCCTCAGCTGGAGAAGCATACGGTAAGATCATTACACATATAAAATATAACTTTAGCCAAAAAGATATTACTGAAATATGAAGAGGAAGCAATGAACTGTTTTGGCAGCATTATAATGAATAAAATTAGGGGAAGGTATTCGGTGCAGAGGGAAAGATGCTGTTTGGCAGCACTGTGTCCTGTACTGAAGTGCCTGGGTTTGAGTTAATTCCAGCTTCCTGCTAGTACACACCTGGAGATGGAGCAGCTGATGGCTCAAGTACGTGGCTCCCTATTACCCCCATGGCAAATCCAGGCTGAGTTCTGGGTTCCTGATTTTGGCCTGACCCAACCTGCTGTTCTGGTATTTGGAGAATGAACCACTGTCAGATAAGAGATCTTTCTTTTCTTTTGAACAAAATGAGAAAAAAAAAACAAGTTTAAAAAAATGATTTCTATCAATAATTTCTAATTTGTTTCTAGTACAATGTAAATAAATCAGTCCTGTTCCTTCTGTGTGACAGCTCTTCATTTTATCAAATATAAATTTGTAACTGGGATAGGTTGGTTGAGTATGGATTTTTCCCTCATAAAATTCTAGCTTTAAGAATCTTTTGTCCCTTGAACCTTTTTACCCTAATTAACTATGTAAAGATTGTCAAAAATATAATTTAAAAAAATCTTTTTGCTAAAATTTAGGAAAAATAAAATGGATCTCTAATGATTGATAATTTTGTCAATTTCTTTAACTCTTTGAGCTATGAGATTTTCAGGGTTATAGATTATAATTTATCTCCACCAACCTGTATATGCTTTTCCAGCGGAATAGGAAATTTGAAGTCAATTCCAAGTAGTTTGAATTCTAAAGTATTCTAAACAATGTATTACTTAGATCCAACTGCCAGTGACAAGAGGAATGGCTTAAACAAGACAGTACCATTTTGTACTTGTGTAAAATCTGAGCAGGGAGTACAGAGTGTTTGTCATTCTTGATGGTGTGCACAACTGTGCAGCTTTCTCCGGCTATTTCTTACTGCCTAAGCATGACGTAGGGCTTCCAAACAATGGTTTTGAAATGGAGGAGGGGATGAAGAAATGCTGCCAAGACACTTCTGCTTACGTGCATTTAGCCAAAACCTTTGTACACCGAGATGTCTGTTTACAAGAGAAGGATGTAAGTGAACTATACCCTGGGTAACCTTACAATAGATGTTTGAGAGTCATGCCTGAGAAAAGAAGATGTAGTAGAAAGCAATGAATAACCAGCAATATGACAATTGACAACGACTTTGTTCACCACTTATTTCTCAAGAATGAGGTGTGTGTAATTAGCACAGAACTTAACTATGATAGGCATTCATTAAGTAGTTGTTCAACAAGTGAATTTCCTTATGGCTCCTGGAAAGATAGTTATTGACATTGTAAATCATGGCAAGTTTGTCCAGTCTCAGTGGTTTTGTGGTGTTCTTTCTCGTCTACTCTGTCTTGATAAGATAAAGTTTCCCGGACAGTCTTCAGATAGAGTACAATACACAATTTAAATTAGCCCTTTTATTGCTGCTGTTTTTAGAAGCCTGTTAAGAATCTCTGCTTCGTGTGTGTTTGACCAGCACACTCCTGGCACATACACTTAGCAAGTATTTTTATAATGACTCTTTGGGAATAAAACTGATGATATTTAAGCTTTTCTGGTCATTTTCCTTCATTTGCCTATAGGAAGTTTTATGTTAATACACATAACAAAAAGTATTGGTCTTAAGTTGTTTTATTACCAGAACTTTAGGAACATTTATTAGCTTTCAGGTAGAATATGATTATGACAAATGCTTCAGATTTCATTAATTATGGTTAAGGACTTACACACTTCCATGTAGAAGAAGCTAGTATACTTCAACAAAAGTAAAGAGAAATTATTTAAAAATAAAGGGAATTATGAAAACATTTGACTGCTTGCATATGAAATAGCTTAATAACATGCTTAATCCTCTCAAGGGAAAATATCATCTTTTCCATTGTTTCAGAGAAAGTTTTCTTCATATGTAAAAATAAATGAGCTAGTTATTTGACCAGATTTTATAGACTAATACTTTGTATTATTTTCTGAGTGAATTCACTCACATTTTTATTTCCTTGTTTTTTAGATTAACCACGGAACTAAAAACCAAACACCTTTTTGTTTGGCTAATAGTCTTCTTTGATCTGGAATGATCACATGTGTTCTAAATAGGCAGCAATGTTGCCATTAAATGGGAAAATAGGAATTTAATTCTTGCTCATTGTATTGAGCAGAGAATCTCAGTGCTAGTTACTGTCACTGAGGTTGACAGGGAAATGGGGAGAGTTCCAAATCTATTAATCATCTAAGCAAGGACTTGGGCATTCCACAATCTCTAAAGGGAAGTCATACAAGAAACAAGAAACCATTTAGATCCTTTACATTGAATAGGAAATTTCTGAAACTAGTAGTGGTTGTTTTGTTGTTTTGTTTTGTTTTTCAGCTGAGAAAGCAAACTTTGCAATCTTACTGGTGACTTTGCTTCTTCCCAATGAAATAAAAAAGGAAGTTCGCTAAAAAGAATCAAAATGAAAAGTTGTTCTTGAGGAAATAAAGGAGAGGGAACTGAGAAATGTATTCACCAATAGAGGGATTTTAAATCTGAGTAGTATTAAAGGGTATCTCTTAAATCCACACTGTGCACTCTAATCCATATTGTAAATCTGTGTATATGAAGAAAAGAAAAATATTCATCTCATTTCGTGTGGCATGTACATACTAAGTGTATCTGCATGTGAAATATTGCTCAGATACTTCCAGCGAGTTATTGATGAATACAGCAGTCTTGTTCTAAGAGTCATACAAGCTTAGGGCCTCTACGACTAAAATATAGTTTCTGGTTTCAAAGACTACTTCTAGTAGAAAAGGAGACGGTGAGAAGGAAAAACTTGAGTTTTATGTACTTAATGACAGAAAAGTGGTATATATGACTAAAGAGGTTTAAGGTATAATGGAAGAAAATACAAATAAATTATTATTTTGATATGACAACATTGTTTTCCTTTTTTTTTCCCTTTAGTTGGAGAACATCAATTGACAGGCCATAAAGTGGCAGTTAAAATCTTAAATAGACAGAAGATTCGCAGTTTAGATGTTGTTGGAAAAATAAAGCGAGAAATTCAGAATTTAAAACTCTTTCGCCATCCTCATATTATCAAACTGTAAGTATTTGGATTTTATAATATAAAAGAAAGCTACTTTAAAATATTTTAAGAGTTTTGTGAATAATTATCTTTAGTTTATCTTTTATGAATTGTCTTTTTAAATATATTCAGTAAGTGCTGATGTACTAAGCATCTTCCAGTTCTTTCTAGCTCCTCTTGGTTTACAATTAGAAGACATTATTTGAAAATTGGTAGTATTTTTGAGTGATGAATGTAACCTTTAAGATGGAATTTTTAGTATTTAATGTTCAAGACTGTGATGTTGTTAGGCTCATTCTTGTAAATTTTCTGTAGTTACTTTTCATGAACATAACAGGTTTTCTTTTAGAAAAAGTAAAGAGTAATTGCTGAAGGTTTCTTTCAGGCAGTACATTGCTTGTAGAAGTGCAGGTGACACTGTAATTACCAACAGTGGAATTTTTGGGAAAACATGAAAAAAAATTAACTTAAAACTTAAAAAGATAACTAAATACTAAAAGGTAAATATTAAAAGCTATACTAATGATAACTAAATACTAAAAGGTAAGATAATTCATTTAATTCTATGACAAATAAAACTGACTAGACACAGAAAATTGATTCAGTATTGAATAACATTTACCTATCATATACAGTTATTGCAGTTTAACATTTATTAAGATAATGTAATATGCTAGACATTGAAAATTGTATTTCTAATCTTCAGACTTGGACACGGCTTTGTAAAATAAATATTAATCTTATTATTGAATAGTTTAATAGCATTAGTTTGTGCCCAAAATTTTACTGAATATTTTACATAAATAATTTTGTATTATCCTTATGATAACCATATAAAATAGTCTTATTTTATAAACTGCATAGTTTAAGGTCACAGACTTGGCAATTAAATTCACATATGACTCCAAATGCCAGAACTCCACTATTTCTCAAAATTTTCAGTTATATAAATCCCTTAAAAGAAAAAATGTATTTGCTGATCCCTCAATTGTGTTTAATAAAATGATTCATTAAAATCAGACATTTAGCCAAAACATTGCCAGCAAGTCATCTTTGAGTTTCACTGTTAGTGTGGAAAGCTTGATAACCCAGTGAAATCTTATTATTTGACAACAAGCTTAGCATTTAGCTATAGTAGGCAGAATAATTGACCCCACTCCTCCATACATCTATTTTCTAATCTCAGAATTTGAGATTATGTTAAATTTCGTAGCAAAGGGGAATTAAAATTGTAAATGAAATTAAGGTTGCTAACCAGCTGTCTTTAAAAAATATATAGATTATCCTAGATTTTCTGGGTGGGCCCACTGCAAACAGTGAATCTTAAAAATTATGAATTGTTTGATATGTGAGTTGTACCACCTGTGAGCTCACTGACTCCTATTTCCCCCCTCTGTCTTTAAATGCCTTGGAGTGCTTTGAGAATGAGCTGTGTCAGCACTGTTACAGTGCATAGTGCTTCCCAAAGCAGGAACTGACAGCCTGAAAACTGGCTGCAGCTTTCCTGAGGGCCCCAGTTAATGGAAACACCTTATGTCTGATGTTGATTCTATGCTCAAAATGATTTCATTTCATCACCCAGTGACTTTTATTTTGTACTGATGTTATTACCTAGTCTTTATTTAATTTATTATTTAAGGAGATTTGTTTATGTCTTTGTTGTTATTTTGTTTTTTAAAGTATTTTATGATTCATTTCCATAGGGTCTGGGATTTCCATATCTCCCTCCTCAAATCCCTTCCCCAACAGTGATTTCTCTCTGTATTATTACAGTGTTATAGTCCTTCACAAGCAGTTCTGTCATTCTGCTATGTAAGTGTATCCTGACATTGTAGGTTTGGACAATGGTAGAAATCCATCATCCTAGGGTTGCGATGTGTTTGAGTTTCATTGAGGGTCCGTCTTTGATTTGGATAGAGATGCATACTGCATTATATCTTCACATCTGCATATGATAGTCTCTATTACACAGATACTACACATCCCATTAAATGTAGAGCCATAAAACAAAATCAACAATAGGAGGAAATGTAAGAAGTTTACAACAACACAAATTTAAGTAACATGCTGCTGTGGGCCGTCCTCGACTGCCTTCCTAGGCCACAGGCAGGGAGCTGGATGGAATGACGAATGTGTCACTAAAAAATGAAAAAGAAAATAAAAAACCTTCATGAAGAAAACAATGCACCCAGTGACTTCTAAGGGAAATCGCTCCTGTCCCCCCTGACTCAGTAGCCATTTACACGGGAAATGGGATAGCTGAATGGCCAACCTACACAGATCATAAACCAAAGTGAGAAATAGGAAAGAGGCCTCCATGTTTGCCTTATTCTTGACTTGTTGGCTTTAGAATGGTCACCGTAATGGAAATGTTGCCCTTTTTGTCCTAGAATGTCTTTGGTTCTTAAAAAGTGATCAGTAATCAAACAGTTGCAAAAAAAAGTAATCGAGCAGTTGCAAGTATCACTAATTTGAAAGTACTAATTTTAAAGGTACATTTATCAATCTCTTCCTGATTCAAAATCTATATTTAAAATATTTAATTTTTGTTTGGCTAATTTTCTCATTCTGACTCACAATTATTTAATTATTTCCCATTTTACTTTTGTGAAGGAGTTAAAGAACACTCACAGAATTGGTCAGAAGTGATTTGTTAGGTGAATTTAATGTTTAAAGTCCCAAGCTTCCAGCCTTGGATGTAGTAATCCATTCAGCCACTTGCCTCTTAACCTGTGGCTGTAACTTTGAAAATGATTATCTGTTCTTGTTACAAACAAAACGTTGTTTCTATTAGTAACCTAAGCATTAGTAACTTAAAAAGAAGAGAGACATGATCTTTTGTATGGCTCTCTTTTATGCAGTATTGGAATAACTGCCAAGAATAACTTCCTTCTTACAAAATGTGCCTCTGGAATTAACAAAAAATCTTGAACACTAAATCTAGAATACAACAACAAAAAATTGGTTTTCAAGGAAATTCCAAATTTCCAGGTGTCTCTGACATTTGTCTGTCCTTTCCTGTTTCCCAGGATTGCACCCTCTCCGCTTCAATTTGGCTAATACTTCTCCATCTGTCTAAATCTGTCCTTACCCTGTTCTGCCACCTTGAGACTCCCCACATACTGTAACTTCTTCCTGAATGCCTCCTGAATTTTCTGCTTTTCTCTGCTCTTACTTACTGGTCACTATCTTGCTTACAATTTAACTCTTGTCTTGCTTAGGAAGCTTTCCTCACTTCTCCCCTCTTTAGGGTGTCCATTACAATTGACCTTTTTGTTGTTGGCCCTTAGATGGGAGTACCTCTGGGGAACTACCTCACTGTCTCATACTGGATTAGATCCAGCCTCTATGCTCTCAGAACACCTTGCGTTCACTTTTTCCAGAGTGCTTAAGAGTTTGTTATAATTACTCAATTTATTCATGGTAACCTCCATATGATTGAATTTCTTAGGAACAGGAGCTGTGTATTTTGTTTCTGTATTAATTTTGCCAAATTGTTGAAAATCCACTCAGACGTGTTCTGTTTACACATTGGGTTGTAGTAGTGAAAAACTGGCAGATTCTCTTATGATGTTTATGTTCAGGAATATAGAGCTAGTAAATGATTGAGATTATTTACATAGTATTAAGGGCTGTGAGGAGATGAGACATGGTGCTGTCATGGAGTGTGACTATAAAGCAAGAAGTTTTAGTGTGGATTCAGTTGTGATGAAAAGCCTCACTGAAGATGCAGATTTTGAGCTAAGATCGAAAGGATGATAAAAGCAAGAGCCATGTGTTTGAAGAACTGGAAGTAATGTTTTCTTTTTTTTTTTAATTTTTAGTATTTTTGACAAAGTTGAGAGGGATGCAAACTCATGCGGGTTTCCGAGTAGGGTTGAGGGAGAGTCAAAATATGGAGGAAAGGGGGTGGGGCAAAAGTTTCCTTTTGTGTCCACATGATGTGGTAAGAGTAGGGAATCACTCATTGCTGTCAAGCTACATCAGCATCAGGAATAGAGGACAGTCATTTGATGATGCCTTAGAGACCTTGATATGGTAAAGAGTGTTGCCAGGCTGTTGCTTGAGTGTTTTTGGTAGTTCTGAGATGTCAGTACTTTCATTGCACTAGGGTCGGGAAAATCTTCCCAAGGTCTGTAGGCTAACCAAGTTCACTTCAGTGCATCACAGCTCAGGAACATTTTGCAAAGGTTGGCCAGGAAAGTGGTCCAACCTGTTCTGCTTTCCATCCTCTGACAAGGCACTCGGTGTCCTCTGCTGGCCTAGATAAGCTGGCTGTCATGTCCACTGTATGCGTCTGAGCATTTTGTCCACTGCGCAAGCATCAGCAACTGAGCAGGTCCCATCCCAACACATGCATTCCAAGGATGAACAACATATTCTGCATTTTTCCCTATGGCTGGAATTTAAGTCCAGCAATGTAGTTGGGAATTTCCCCAAGAAACCTTGTCTAGTGTGACTCCAGACCTAACCATTGAGTGCATCAGCCAGTGCAGAGTTAGGTTCAGTTTTTCACCTGAACTAGCCAACATACATATCAGTTGATGCAGCTGCCCTGGTCAGTTTTTCCCACAGCCCCATAGCTCACATTTACTTGATGTGTGCTGTGGCCTAGCCCAGTTTGCCACAGTCCTGGTCCCCATGCACATTAGTGGGTTCCACAACCTACTTGGGGTTGCCACTAGTAAGCCCGGCCAAGCTTGCCACTAGCCCTGGTTTTTGCATGTCCTGTGGCCAAGCCCCATCAGTCCCAAATTGATCTGCCTCTCATACATAGGTGTGCAGCTTAGCTCAGCTAGACTTGCCCCCAGTCCTGGTCCACACATATGTGGATGTGTGTTATTGCCTTGACCAGCCTTATCTGCTCCCGGTCCTGGCTGTTATGCTCACCAGTGGGAGCTGCAGCCCAGCAGAGGAGTGCTCACAGTTCCTCTACCAGGCTCACCCTTAGCCTCAGATCTTGCTCTTGCTAGGGTGTACTGCAGTGCACCCTAACATGACTCACATTTAGTCCTGGC